TTCAGTCAATTATATTGAGAAGAGAAAACTTACCACAACCTTTAAGACACTGAACAGGTAAGATTTCTCTTCAGTTGGTTAAGAGCCTCTTTTCCTGTCTTCTCTCCCTCTTATCCTCCCATTTATTTTCAAGGAGGCAAAGTATCTCACCTCGGCATAGCTTCAATTGGCCATTTGGGGAGTGGGTGAATGCCATTTAATTTTCTGTGAGTGTCCACCTGGCAGGTTTGGCTTCTGTGTACATCAATCCTGAGATCACATCCTTGAAGTAAGAACAATAATAGGAGAGCAAAAGTGGCCTTGAGAGCAGTAATCTTCAGATAGCCTTTCCCTTAATATTATTAGAGGGAAAAAAACGTGTGATTTCTCCAACTGAAATGGCCAGCACAAAAGGAAAAGAAAAAAAAAATGTTCAAAGTGGCAAGGTCTCTGCTTGTTCAAATTCTTAAAATATGGCTTAACACACAATCTCATAAAACACTTAATGAGAGGGGGGGAAAAAAAGTTCTTTCTTGTATTCCCTGAAGAAAGCACAAAAAGACAGATGGCCCAAATAAGAGGGTCCCTGGTCAGATAAGACCTTAATAATTTTCCTTTGCCTTGACAAAAGAAACTGTGTAAGAAACCGTGATGACTTTATTCTCCCAGGAGAAGCACAACAGGGAGAGGAGAAAGATGCCTAAAAATGGTCTTGCCTTTGACAACGTGGGTTATAGTGCTTCATTTTGTTAAATAATAAAAGGACAATTAAGAATGTTTTCTTTTGTTCCTTGTACTGTCTTTACTTGGGAGTGAAATCCAAAGATAAATGTCCAAAGTAGTATGATTTCTATTTGTATGTGGTCCCCCCTCCCCACTCCCCGCTTCCTGTTATGTAATGAGGGCAGAACAGAGCAATGTGTTCTATTCAGTCTCTGGAAAATGAATAATGGCAAAAACAAGGAGGGAGGGCAGAAACAGCCCAAACCAAGAGAATGTTAAAATAAATCCAAGGTTCTAAATTATTACCTCACAATGAACCGTTTGTGGAGCTCCTTTAATCTGTCAACAGCCACTGAAGACTAACTCCAATGCCAGACCTGTTGCTGCAGTTTCCTTTCCTGTAGTCAATAACACTCTGGTGTGAGAGACTAGGCTAATTAGCATGAATCCTGTCAACCACTCCTAATTGAAAGAACAATTTCTCCTTTCACAGACTCAACACCAGCATCTTTAAAGTATAATTAGGAAAAAAGCTTAAGAAGAAAAGTGAATTTCAAAGAGGCATACATCTAATGCCCAGCTCATTTTTCTGAATATTCCAGAAAAGGAGCACCAGAGTGATTTCCTTATGGCCAGAGGTTGACGGGATTGTTTTACTTTCAAATCCTGACTCTGCTATTTGGCTATGTGGCTTTGCTCAAATGATTTAACTTCCTTGACCTGGCATTTCCTCAGATGTAAATAAAAATCACGTATTTCAAGAAGGGTGTAGTGGGGCTTAAATAAGAAAGGGAAAAAAAATACTTGATAAATTTTAATTATTTTCGTTACAATATATTATGATATCAGATATTTGTGACATTTTAAAAACTCTGGGATGAACCAGAAAGCAATATCAAGCTGACTTCCTTCTTCATAAACATATTTCAGCAGTATAGATCAGAAACTGGCAAAGCCTAGGTAATCTCAGCCAAATCCAGCTCAAACGTGCTTTTGTACATTAAGTTAGATTGGAGTCCATGCCCTCTCATTTACTTACTTTGCTGCTTTCTTGCATCCATGGCAGAATGTGCAATTGAAATAGAGACCATTGATATCAAAGCTCAGAATCTGGACTACTTCACTTTTTTTTTTTTTTTAAGAGAGAGAGAGAATTTTTTAATATTTATTTTTTA